TGTGTATGTGTTTTCACAAGTGAACGCCCGTTTAGCCCTATTATTTAGGTGTAATAAAACTACATCAATACAATAACTGACGTGCACGTGGTGTGCGTGTTTTTGAAAACTCAATGTTGCGCTTAAAACCCCGGGGTTGGCATTCGGTCAAGTATTACATGTTATTACATTGCATTTTCACTGAACCAACTCTGCCCGCACCATGTCCCGCGTGTCTAGTCATTCACCGGTCCTAATGCAAGGCGTTCTTTCTCAAGTGTCTAACCATACACCTGTTTTAGTAATAACAAATAAGATAAACACAACCCAACAAATTAATTATAACCATTTCATACATATGTTTTTAAGATTTTTTTAAAATCCTGTTCAATACTCCATACTGCTGTTATCCAATGTCCGTTAGATGAATAATATGAACCCACTAATACGCATGCGTAGTAATTTTATTGTATGACTACGTACCAAAAACAATATGCGTATGAGAAAATTGTATTGTTACTAGTACATGAAACGAATATCCAGATGTTAGTTGCAAAACATCTTTTTCATTTCATGATAAATCATTGATAAGTGTATTTATATATATTTTAAAACATTCATCTTGACAGCTACGAATACAATTCTGTTCACCGCCATATAAACCATAAATTACTATTGATTTATTTATTAATATATTGGCTGATGCAATATGGCCAGACGTCATGGAATTGCGGCGACCCCTACTCATTTCCACGCATTGAATGATGCAACTCTTTCCATCGAGCAACATATTTAAACTAAAATTACCTTAACCAGTACAAAGATGCATTTTTTTCATATTCAAAGACATTTCGGACTCTCGAAAAAAGTGTGGGATGATTCTAATTTTGTTATTTCATTATCCTTATTCTAGTAGCGTTAACCCGCAATAACGAACACTTGAAAGATATAGCATATAATCTTCAATTCGTCGGGAACTTCCTTTAACCTATCACGAATCCCACCATTCGATTGTTCTCGGCAATGAATGTACAGTATGACGCAATATTCTCCGTTTTGAGTTGTACGTACGTGCTGACGCAGTCATTCATTCATTATTTCCTGTTTTCAGAATTTTCATCCCAAATAGAACTCAATATTTGAAGTCTTCTCCATCAATACAAATATTTGTTGTTAAACCTCATCCCGTTGCCTGGCAACCTGAGATAATGTTTTACGCCACTGTCCAACATATTCTCATTTCTATGGAAACCCCACACACAGTCATCCATTCAATGGATTGTCAAACGCACGAGTTTTCCCTCACTTTCGGCAAATTACTTCTGGTTTTTTCCTTCTTTTGTTTCTAAATTGATCTCCATGACTACCGATTTTACGTACTTCGTCACTGCTTCCGGCTTAGCTTATAAGTCAGGAAAACTCGTTGTTACTATCGTTAGGAATTTCTCAATTGAATGTCATTCGACCCAAGTCATATAAAGCGTGATATTTCTACTGAAGCAATGGAGTTAAGGAAATAAGAAGCGCGATAGGAACCAATTCAGTCTTCAATACTAGTGCTAGTATATACAATACATTTAAATTTGGTTCATTCTTTGCCTAACTTTAATATAAAGAAACGATATTCCGAAACTTGGGGGAAAATCGTGTAAGTTGTCGCAGTGGACAATTAAACTGAAAACCTTACCAGTGAAAATGGAGAATCGTAGCAAAATGTCAGAAATTTAATAATTTGCAGCAATCGTGCGTACTAGTATATAAGTACGTTTTACGTCACGAGAGTATGCTACCGGAAACACTTGGATTTAAGCTCGGTTAATAGTGAAGCCAACGCACAAATTACGTCATTGGGTAATACCGTAAAATGTATACCCATCATTCAGTTCAAAACGAGACCCTTAGCGAATTTCATTCATTAAAGCTCGATTATTTTTACTGGATGTTACACACACTTAATTAGTAGTAGTCAATCGGCACTCTACCATTGAACCATCTGTCTTTTACCTCCATGATTAAACCAATGTTTGTAAAACGTCCATTCATAGAAAAAAGACTGCACCATTATATTGGAAGGGGTGGAGAGTACAAACTGCACGTTTCTCACACGATCCCAGTGATAACAATGTTGTATCATATATAATTCACGTCATACGTATGTTTTTGTCGTATAATTAGTCAGCCGTATTTCCCGCCAATACGGTCAGTCAACACGGAAGATTGATCACTGAATATATTATTTATAAAAGAACAAAAAATGAATTTACAGTAAGAACAATCTATTACGTTTGTCACTGGACAGCCCTCCAAAAAAAAACAAAAAACGTTAGTTGTATTATAACAGAACAACAAAACACCATGGCAGCAACTTATAAAATAGTTTGATTAATTAATTAATTAATTAATTAACGTCCAATTAATTAATTAATTGATTGACTCTTAGTCTGACCGTTAATTCAGATCTTGTGATAATCATCGACAGTTTCACGCCAACCTGAACGCCAGTGACATATTTCCTTTACAAAAGCTAATCAACAATCTTCTACGTCAAGGACCAACGCGCATGGTAACGGAATTGTATTATTCACAGATCATTTATAATCGTAACACCGGCTGTCGTGGCTCATATTTCCACCCATTTGGGCCAATATAGTACGCGCTTTTGTAGAAGTGGATTAATATAAATATAATTAGAGTTAAAAGGTCTCGAAGAAAACTCCTGATCGATAACACGTGTTATATTATACACGCAACTAATTTACATTATCGGAATGCTATAATATAATATTATCGTTGCAATTACACATTTTCGTGTTACCCCACGCGATGTTATCATATCATATTATCGCCTTCATTGCACTGAGCCACCCCCCCCCCCGTAACCTGTATTCATTTTAAAGAATAAACAAGACCAGTTTTAACAATGAAAAATGTGTAACTGACAAGAAAACTGTTAACCTCGAGCAATTTTATATCGATATGCCAGTATTGCGGGCTCCATAATATTAAAAAATAATTTGTGAAGAACGTAATATTTAATATAAAAAATAAATCACCCCAGGATTTCAATTGGTTCACTCCTTATAAACTGCTGCTGGCCTTCAGCTGGACAAATAATATAAACGGGGATGATGCACATTTCATTTATTTATTTATTTTATTATTGCAGGCATATTGACCTACGTAAATTGCGTGAGTGTCCGTTGGTCAACTAGAGTACAAGACGTGTTCACTGCCTCAAAAGTGTTCGCTTTGATATTAATTATCATCACCGGTCTGGTTCAAATAGGAAAAGGTACGTATATTTAAATTTTTAGGTATCAGGTGTGCTTGCTTCCACAATCCATCAACTACAGTATTCATACAAAGTGTCTGGTTTAATAACAGCGCATGTATTGGTATAAGGCTGTTACAGCAAGAAAGAGGTTGTTGTGGTGCCGCCGTGCTGTCAAAGGTAGTTGAATGATCTATTGGGTCTTTAGTAATGGTCCGTTGTATAGATCCGGTCATCAACTGCAACTAACAGTAAATATTCATTTTTTTCGATTTCGCGAGTACGAGCGGTGTTTTGCATCCTGCGACCCGTGTTTGTAAACATGTTAGAATCTTATTTAATATTGTGAGATATTGTTCACTCTGCAGTTTGCGAAACCCAGGTCACTCGATTGCATCGACGGCAGTTGCCTCCGAAAAGTATAAGCCATTTCCAACCCTTTTTTATCGAACTGACATTTGTCGTCGCGATCTGACGCATTTAGTCACTGGTATGTGTTAACACAATGACTGACAACGTTGCTGTTATCAGTTCGGTTGTTCAAACAGATGCACGCAACCAAATTGCTGGTAAAACAATTTTAGATATGTGACATGGACCTTTCCAATGGAAGCTTGATTGGTGATGGTATACAAATATCGCCACATCGACCCAGAATGTACATTTCACACCGGTATCGGCCAAACAATCGATCACTCTACAAAGCTGTCACCAGTGTTCGCGGGGCAGCGTTTTTTTTCAAAGGGGTGTTTTCACTCGATACACCTGGTTCTGACAGTATCGTGCAGGGGTCAGTTACCTTAAGTGCCTCATATCCAGCAGTGGATGTCGTAGCCGCGGTACAACACGGCTTATTGTGCTATTAGTTGTGTTCACGTTACACGAAGTACGGTGTCCACGCACAGGGAGGGTCAGTCGTTAGCACGGGCTAAGGGGTGCCATTAGTCGGTGACCTTTGGTAAGCCGCTATTTACGAACGACACGCGCAAGGTTCTATTTCTGCTTATATTAACATGTAAACCAAACATAGAAACTCTCTTTTATCATATTTTACGCCAAAATTTAAATTCAGAATTGCATAGCAAATCGAGTGGTCTAAATCGTTGTCCATGTAATGAATGGGATCTAGTAAATTTACACTTCTTTTATTTGCATGGTTAAATTTACCTATTCATAAAACATTATACGACAGTCTAATTATTATCATTATTATTATCTAATAATTAACATTGAATGGATGGATGGATATATTGGTGGATGAATCGTATACGTGGTAAGATTAGTTTAACAACCCCCTGTACTTTATTTATTTTATATTTTGCACTCAATTTCATCCAGTGTGGTAGTCAGTTTAATTAGATGTAGATATCATGCATTAAATTATGACAATAAATATACTAGTAAATGTCAGTCAATAGTATGCTCTACGAAAGGTCAATTGTCGTAAAACAGAACTATCAAAGTGCGACTCCCCCCTTGTTGCGCTACACAGATTACTGGCAGCGTTAAGTTGCTACGCGCATAGGGATAGGATGCAAACACATATCTGATTTAAATATTATTTCTGTCTTCATATAGGAACCTTGTGTCTAAATCATTAGATTTGTGGGACTAAAAAGTATATTTTTATCTATTTATATATATATATATATATATACATGTATATATTCTGTCTGTATAGACAGACAACAATTCGATTATTAGTTTTCTCAATGAAAGCTTCGGGATTCAGTTTTGTAGCAGGTGCAATGATATATCACTAGTATACAGTGGTAAAAGCACACAGGAAGCTTTTGAAATCACACGACACAGAGATCCTCAATGGCTTTCTCATTTAACGACAAAAACACACGCTCTGGTAATCCGACTGGATTTAAAGGCTTGTGGCTCAGTCAAACTTTAAGTCGTCTTTGGCGTGACGCGGAATTCCCATGATGCACCGCTTGATTTATTTGACATACACGCCTCTTTGAGCACAACATCTAAAATTTAAAAGCGAATCGACAGGCACACAAGCGGAAACACCGGGAGTATAAATATTTAAAAATGTTTCTGTTACGGTTGCCTGATTTAATCGTTTGAGGTGAAATAACTTTTGAAATCGTTTGTATGTTATGAATTTTAAATTGAAACTTACATCATATGAATATTTCTATAGAAAAAAACGCGAAATTTCCTGATACCGTGGTAATGAGACAACATCTATCAAACACTAGTTTGCGTTCCATCGGCACATTTTAGAACCTTGACCGGTCAAATAATTGATGACTAATAAAAAAAAATCGATCGATGGACATAGTACTTGTACCAGATACATACTTTGGTTTGTAAATGTTTCTGATGTAGGCCATAGCGGCATTCAACTGATAAACACAGAGGCTGGCATTAAATGCTAAACTCCTCACTTTAAAAATGGGAATTTATACTTCGAGGAGTGAACCGTCTTGATTTCATATTGAAATTCCACATTCGCTTGAAAACCCCCCTGAGACAGAAGCCGTACTGGCAGAATGTTGACCGAATCTTTGAGTAGATTGACTTTGACATCATATCACATATCCCATCGGTATAAAAGAAGAGTTGCGATATTCCCATTGGTCCCTGGGTACTATGTAGTCATATATAACTAACGACACATGCAAGAGACTAATTCTCAAATAAATTTACATAAAGTGTCTTTAGTGTGATCATCGAATTTTTATGATAATAGGGATGCGCGAAGGTTGTTTCTGTGATCACGGACGCCACGAACTGGTAGTCGATCTATAGGTGGGTGTTCTTGCCCTCGCCCCCTGTATCGGTGCTGAGGTGATCTGGTTATAAAACGATGGGTATGGTAGCAAATCATTACTCGGATGTATGCTCACGTGGTCCGATTCTCCGCAATTCTTCGTATAATTCACATAGTCGAAATACCAGCGCGGACTAAAAACATTCACTGCCTCGTGTCTCATTTTTTTTTAATAGTCTATATTCAATGTTACGCAAGTCGAATCTCAATAATTCAGTGTTCCCTGCTCGCACAACCTTTTCCTGCTTGTTTTACCCAGATCATTTTACGTAGAATCCCGACCTAATAGGCCACCGTTCTATTAATACATCAGACACGAATTCGGCGATGTTTAAATGCAATCTCAACCTGTCATTTTCAGATGTTCAAAGTTCTTTGTGATTCGTGTTGATGTGTGTATTAATTGTTCATGGTTACAAGAATGCCCATCGATCTGTACATGGACATGTCAAATGCGGTACCTGTTCCGATTCCTTAATTTGCGTGGTTAAAAAAAAAATCAAACCAATTTCATCACATTCAATGGGCAATAGCATTCTCTGTGCATTTGTATGTGTATCCCCGTGGCGCTAAGGTAGAACTGATACGAGTTCCGGAATGATTTGTAGTCTGCCCGCTTATATCAAATGACTTATCTTGAGTGTTGACTTTTACTCTGTGTCTGATCGACAGTCCGCATTTCATACACTGTAATCTTGTTTTCACCCGACGAGATTGCATTAATGATTTGTTTGTGATAAAAGGCGAATACTTGTCCTTGCGGGCCGCTCAATGACTGGTCCTTTGTACAAGTCACTGACATCGGTCCATGGTGCGTGGCAATGTGCTTTTGTAATGTTTCAATCTAGTCACATGTGCTGACATCGCACGGCATTGCGAAATGATATCAATGTATATTTAACCATCTCTATGCAAAACTACCACCTGTTCGCGCACTGAATTCTGCAAATGCCATAAAATTAAATTACCTATCTGCCTGATGGCGTTATTTAGATTTTGGGAAGCGATAATCGAACTGTACATTTGGTACAGTATTTAACCAGCTGCTTGATCTTTGACATGCCTAAATGATTGATATGTCGCAATGAACCCTGTCAGTCGCTGTACAAGTAGACCATGACGCTTAATATTCCATCTGTTTCTTCCATATTCAATTCAGGAAACACTGCAAATTTCGAGGATGGATTTGCGGGTTCAACCACCGATGTTGGAGATATTGTATTGGCATTCTACTCTGGTCTGTTTGCTTTTGGAGGATGGTAAGTCAATTTAGAAACAGAAAAAGTCATGAATACGGATTCTGATAATGCATAATATCATTCAAGCCCTACACCTAAATCACACGAGTGTTGTTTAAAGCGCGGTGGTCGTCGTGCGGCGCGTGTTCGAATTTCATGGAAATAAACAATGTTTTTTGACGTGGCACGACGACTGCCGCCCTTAATTAAACCTTTCACTAGATCCGGTGAACTCATTGGACTTCTTCTTTTTGAGGTACATTGTCCGATTATCTGTCATTAACCTTGATTAACCTTGAACATACGGTTATCTTTTTAGGAATTACTTGAACTTTGTTACTGAGGAGTTGAAAGATCCACAAAAGTAAGTATATATGTAGATAAAAAAAAACATGATAGTATTGTACGATTTAATGCTATGTGACATTGCACTTCGTTGAAATTTAAACCAACTGTCGAAAAATATAAACAAATGAATCTGCTCAGTGCTCATGAAAAAACCCTGTTAGCTTTTATTCTAATAGATACTGTGAAACTGTGTACCTATGTCTATTGCTTCCTCTTTCAGATCTCACTGTCAATGTTTTGTTTTACAGGAACCTTCCTCGTGCTATCGTGATTTCCATTCTATTGGTTACGGTGATCTACGTTCTTACCAACATTGCATATTTTGCTGTCCTCTCACCAGAGCAGATGCAGAACAGCCCTGCAGTTGCTGTGGTAAGTTCTGTTTGTTACTATGGTGATGTACGGGCGTGTTCTGGATGTATTTATATCATTTGATTTACACCAAAAAAACCTGTATATCGAGCCATTTCGCACTGTCAATGAGACCGCAATAAAAACATGTTCCACCACAAATTATAGTTATTATCACAGATAATTCACCAATTTTCTTTTTTCTGCCCAGTTTTAAATCATTTATAGCATTTATGATTTTCCGTGGCTAATTGGTAATATTTTCGCACACATCCCGTATCTTTGAATGTTAGTAATAGTTTGCTTTCGTCAATTTTCTGTCCAACGGGTGTTCATGTTGTGAGGTACTAATACCAATTTTGACAATTCCACCAATGCGATCAGTTCGTAACAAACCAAATAATGCGCGTTACAACACGAACAGACGACGTTCGGTCCTGCTTGCCAAGTGTTTGGGCGAATAATGCACGCACACACCAGTTAAAATAATACAATTGAGATACAGATTTCAATAGTTATTCGTAAACACTTGTTTGTGCTTCAATGCCCTTACTGATAGAAGCCCTCTAAATGCCTTCTGTGTCTCCACAGTGAATGCGCTCGTCTCCTGTATTCAGTAACGTAGGCATGGTGTACCATAGAAACCACGCTCATGAATTGAAAATTAGGCGATGAGTGGGACAATTAAATATAACAAGTACCGGAACGGAGTTAATCACCACGTTTTGACTAATTAGCTTAAATTGTTAATGTTTAATATGTTAGGATGATCTATACTTTGACTTCACAGTGCTAGAATCGGAAGTAGACAAAATAATGTGTAGTCAGGGAACTAAATTTTCAGAATAATAAATATCATGCAAATATTACTCTGTGATGGTTTACTTGTAGCCTGAGACAAGTGCAATGCGTCGTCTGCGTCGTTTGTTGCGTTCATTGAGTCTAATGTAAACAGTTAAATAGGTCACTATCCCCCGACTCGAGACGTACATTGTTGGGTCTATGATTATACATAAATATAGTTTTCAGCTGTCGGGTAGAAGATCCAGTATCGAGAGACTTGCACATAACAGTTTTTTTTTAAATAATGTATCAAAAGTGCATTCATAAAAACCAGTTCGAAATGTAGAGACAGACACATATTAGGTCAACTGACTGGTGCTTGTCTTAATGTTGAGATACAACCGATATGCTGGGGGCTGGGGCTGGTCGGGGTGATTACGTGCCGAGTTTAACTAGCTGTTGGGGGACATGCGTCCTTAGAATGAACATGGCCTGCAGCTCAATGATACTGACGTAATTTTTAGGTCATATTCACCAAGAAGACGAATACTATATTTCGTTGCAACATGTTCTGTTCGATTTTTGATTATTCAGTTTGATCTGTACCACACCGTACTTCGCCGCCTGTGCGTACGGAAGTCCATAAAAAAGTCACCAAGCATACAGTTTATGGCTGCATTATTGACCAATAAATCATTGTATCTTTAAATTTTATTACCCTTTATTTCACCTTTCAAGAAATGTTACTGTCGTTGGGTACAAAACCACTACAGCCTGAATGTACATGTAAAATACACTCCACTGACTACACCTCGTTCGTTTTTTTTTTTGTAACACAGACTTTTGGTAATTGGACCCTTGGTGTTATGGCCTGGTGTATACCTGTATTTGTTGGATTGTCTACTTTTGGAAGTGTAAATGGATCTCTGTTAACTGGATCAAGGTGAGGGACATAAACAAATGAACTTGCTCTATCGTCAATAGATGGCGCCTTCCCATAGTGCTCTTGTCGTTTTCATTGCAGCCACAGTCAGCTGGCGCACACGTGATAATAACATAAATA